CTGGTGCTGCTGCTGCTAGGTCGGGGGTGCAGAACGAGTCGAGGCGAGAGAAGGTTGTTGGGAAAAAACGGCAGACGTCACAGGTCAAGTATGACGTTGCGGAGGACGATTTTAAAAAAGGCGAAGGCGCACGAGAGAAAAGAAAATGGGTGGGCGGCGGCGCACACTCTGACACCAGCACGCCCACGTTCAACCACGTCCACACGTCCATGTCCATGTCCCTGCCTGGTCCAGTGTCCCGTCTTGTCTTCTCTCTCTTTCTCGACGCCCACACCCATGCCCACGTCCACCGTCCACCCCCGTTCCCCCGTCCCGGTTCTTTCGTGTTTCTTTTCCTTCCCTCCAACAGCGAATGCGACCGGTGCTGCTTGCTAATCGCACACGTACCTCAAGATGGACTCATCCAGATTGCTTCAAGCGGGTACTTCACTCTGCTACCGCTGGCTCAGGAACATGTCTTCCATGTTGCTACTGCTTCCTGCGACTTCAGGCAGGTACTTCGTAGCTACCGGGCACGTAGCGAGCGCGCTTCCACGTCTCCCATCCCCCCGGCCTGCGAGAAACGCTGGGACGAAAGTGGGCCGGTGTTTCCCGCACTGTGCGCTGACTGACCCAGGATATCCGTGGACGGCTTGCGAATGAGGAAAGGGTTCCACCACACCACATCCATCTGCCCAACAGGGTGCGCCAATGAGAAACGCATTTTTCTCGATAATGGCGTCGTTGGATTCTCCGTCCGCCGCCTCGCCTGGTGGTGAGGTGCGTCCATACCCGCTGTCTTCAGTTTCTGCCCATCGTTGCAGTGCCCACTGCCAGGAGGTCGCGCGACTCTCTCTCCATTCTACCTTCCCTCTCCTCACTGGATCTTGCGCGCATCCCGTTGCCGTTCTGTATCAGCAGTGCCGATGGTGACATGGAGCTCAAAAAACACTGAGGTTGGGTCTCCGTCTTTGTACCCATCCATCAAACTCCGTCCCATCTTGCTGCGTCAAGAAAGGAACGGTAGACAAGTCTGCCGAAGCCGCGCACCATTCTCGCGTCCCGTCTTGTCGCTCGACTCGGGCTTCCTTCCTCCCCTCCATCCCTCCATATCTCAACTATCCTCATGGTTTTGCCTTTCGCCTTCGCCCTATCTTTGATTTATCAGCTGAAGAAACTGGTCGTTGTTGCTGCGGTGCCTCGGCGGCTCGGCCAGTGCTTCCCCCTGGCTGGCAATCTGCACACCACCATCCGTCGTTGTCCGTTACCGACGTTGATATCGGAGTACTTCTCTCTACGACTATTATTGATGTCGTCGTCCACCGTGCCGCCCCCCGTCTTGTCGTCTTCGAGTCAAAATCCAACACACTGTATGATGCGATGTTGACCGTTGTCCTGCAGAAGCGAGTCGGCCGAGACTCGAATTCGCACTGTAAGGTGCGGGCCACCCGCCGGCCTGCGTATGCTGTCGACGTATGATATGGCTTGGAATGCAACCTTCAAGGGGGTCCGTACGCCCCCCATAATGCAGCAGCCAGTATATGCAGCCAACGTTTTCTACTGTGGCCGCTGTCTCCATCTGGTGGCCCCCGCCCCATCCCCCGACCCCTGCATTGATTGCATCACTTTTCTCTTAGTCGCAATCATCGCAACCCGCCCGTCGTCGCTTTTCTCACTCGTCCACAGGCTGCTCATGTTTTCTTTTTTTCCCTCTCCGTCCCCTGCGCTCCACGAAAGTGGCTCCGCGCCAGACTTTACGATCGCCCACTGCCCGGCCCTTCATAACTGCCTGCCGAGCCGCGCTCTTCTTCTCCTACATGAGCCCGGGCTCATCCACCAAGGCACCGAAAACCAGTACATTGTTCTCGCCAAACCAGCAATTCGCACGTCTGGCCTTGTCTTTCATGGTCTAGACCTGTCAACGCCATCGGACCATCTGCACCGTGTGTGCTATATCGAGTGTCTAAAGATGCAGCCGCCAGTCATCCGGAGGAATCTGGCCACCAAGAAGAGCGTTACGGTGAACTGATCGGCACTCATCATTGCTTTTTTGGGGCAAACGACACCCTTCCCCATCGCGATCTGGTCTTTCAGCCTGAACAGTGCGACCATGAACTGTCTTCCGTATTGAATACCCTCCGCTCTCTACTGCCATCGACTTACGGCTGCCACGCGAAACTCTGCTGTGTCAGACTGTGTTGTTCCATCTGGGAGCAACCAAACCATGGCGGTCTTGTTCTTGTTTTCGCGGATTTCTAATCTGCATCTACATGACCCGGTTGCCGACACGAGCGAGGGATGGCCGGGCAAACAGCGGAAATCAGAACGGTTGCCAATAGGAGTGGCAAATTGCTGACTCCCGCCTCCAATGAGAAGCTGCGATGGAGCGGACTCGGTCAGGGAGGCCTGGCATCGAGTCTCCCCGCCTTAACTGGACGACTGCTGATTCCAACAAATTGCGTCACAGCACTAGCACGCTGTCGAGCCACACTCACACAAAGTCCCTTTACGAACAGAAACCCCACAGAGCGCAAAGCACATTATTGTCCACTGTATCGAAAATCCTTTCTCGATAGTGCACGCAAACTACCATTACTGTCGAACTCTATCTTCTATCACCGGTACGGATCCCGAATTGGCATGAAGTTCAACAAGTGGTAGCTTTCGCGTGTACGCAGGAGTGTCTTTTGGGTGTGCGACGCGATGGGCTCATCCTTCAGACACGCATTACGTCACGGGTTTACTGACAATATCTGTTTTTAGTTTGGGACGGAAGATTGATAGAGTTCTCGAAAACGGCACCAGATGCGCTCGATGGCCATGGCTTGGGCCAATGTCTGAACGAAAAGGGGGCGCACTGTCCCGGATACTTTTCAGCTTTTTTTCCTTCGCATTGGTGGCGTCACAGGACATGACGTAATTGTGTCTCGTCAAACTATCAACGAATGGGATACCTTTTTAGTCTCCCAGCGGAAGCAGCCAAGCAAACGATACCAGATGCCTTGCCGCGACTGGTCGTCCGGCACCATCGGGAGACGCATGTCGAGGAGAGGGGTGGTGCGCATGGTACGGAAAGCACATCGCGTGCATCGCATCGTACGGCGAAGCATTGCCAGACAGTGAATAGCCCAAACACTCGACGGCACACTTCCTCCACCAGACGGGCGGTTTAGCCCAGTCGTGCGGAAGGTGTCTCTAAGAACTGGAGCCTTTTCATCGACGATGAATCCGCGATTTCAACAGACCCCAATCCTCACAGTGGCCAGATCTTTGCAGAAGTTCTCTACACAGTCCTTCCGACCCACAGGTTCGCTACGAAATGACGGCGTGCTCCCGTCCACGTCCATGGTCGCTTCCGCTAGGATGGTGCCGATTCGGTTCAGTGCTTGGCCTCCGAGGCGTTGAGCTTTTGGACCGACCATGAGCGGCGCGAGACTGCAGATTCACATCAAAACGGATACGTATCTCCGGAGCAGAGCTGCTTCGTCGGTTACCGTCTTATGACGCACTAGACCCAGAGTGCCACCCCTGCGACCGCCCACCGACAGGATACACTGTGCTGAAAGTTTGAATTTCGCGACCGCGTCGCACCGCACTGTACGGATGACCTGCCGGCTCCATCCTTGATGCATCTGGAGCTCCAAGGCGCACCCCCCCGACGGCGCGATACGGTGACTTGGCTTTTCCTGGACGGAGCACGGAGGAGTCGCGTTTTGAGCAAACAATGTCCTCCTGCGGCATTCTGACAGAACAATGACGGATCGGCATTTCTTGTCTATTGGACGCGACGGCTCGTCTGATATCCATCAAGCTGGTTCTCGCTCGGCGCTGTGCATCTCTCCTTATCTTGAGATAATCGATCTTGAGCCGATACGACGCCAGGACAACGGGAGGGATTCCAGCTCGGACTTCTCGACATGTCGTCTCGCATGTTGGCACTACAAAATGGATTAATAATGCAAGCAAACATCAGATTCTGCTTAGCGTGGTATCCCGTGGTCCATCCCCTCGGTTCAGCACTATTAGGGTCTGTTTAAGCCTCATCTCGCATTTCTACCTCGCGGAGAATCTCGTCCGATAGTCCATGGCGGCCACCGGCATTCAGCTTCGCGACTTGATATCGCATCTTCAGAATGAATGTGCGCGTGCGCTCACCTGTCACCTGATCCAGCCAAGAGCCTCACTGTCCATCCATTCATGGTGCTGCACCGCCAAATCTTGTCGACGATCTCATTCCCAACCCGTCGAACTTTCCACCCACCATCTTTGCTGAAGGGGCGTTAGTGAACCGCAGTCAAGGACACCCACCCCCCTGCCATCCCACCCAGATCGCTTCCGGATCTTGCATCGGAGTCGATGCCGGACGGGCGTCGTCAAAATTCACAGTTTACGCCGCGTGGTATTGCTGCTGCGCGTAGCACGAGACCTCGCAATATGTGGTGCTGCGTGAATGGCTGCCGCTAGATTCAAGGACCATGTTTCAGTGAACGCTAATGGTAGGGCATGCTGCGACCTCAGCTGCGCCAGCCATTGAACTTGCGAGCCCGTAGGCTCGCGACGCCTTATTGGTTTCTTGGGTGGAACAATCTATGCCGATGGCAATGTCAACAAACCGCATGCGGTTCAACGTCGAAAGCCATGGTTTTGCAACGACGAACCACAGGTACCAGAGCATGTCATTCAGCCTTTCAGCGGCCGTTGGCATATCTGTCCGTCTTACGACTGAGCGTAGCTGGTTTTGCCGCTAAATGTCTTCAAGACGTTGATGATCACATTCCTCAACCGGCTCACAAGGTAAGATGGGCTCCAAATTCTCGATGGACAGCGATCAAGGATCTACCATTCTGTTATGGCGCGTATTGGCTGAGGGTTGTAAGCATGTATTGATTTTAAGTCCAAGACGACACATGAAGACAGAAGCACTTCACTGCTCACACTGCTTCCCCAGACTCGGAATGAGGCTTTGAGCGCCATCGCATGATATGCAGGCAGCCCCCATGCCGCCATCACGGCCCGGGGACTCACAGCTTGGTGGGAGCTCTGCGTTCCTTGAAGCTGTCCAGCTTCTCCACCCGGAAGCCATGTCTCGGTGCGTGAACTCTTACCGAGCCCTTCTCTCCGCTGACCTCAATCACCACCTCATCCCCATTGATGCTCACAAGCTTCCCCGAGTCATTGTGCGTAGCACCCGTGTCGGTAGGCCAGACGACCACTTCTTCGCCCGCCTTGAGGCCCGCAGCGGCCACAAGCGCGTCATTGGTTTCAACCTTGCCCTCGGGCTCGTTGTACGGCGACGATGTCACAATCTTCGCGGCTTCATCTCCGGATACTGTCTCGACCTTGGGTGCCGCCTTTTTCACAGCGGATATCTGCTTCTGGAACCGTGCAATCCAGGCGAATACCTTGGGGAACTTCTCAGCCGAGATGTACTCCTTGGGAAGCGCGTCGGGAATGCCAGTCAGCCAGTGAACCAGCCAAACAGCCTCGATATCTGCCAAACTAGGGCCGTCCGTCTTGAGAACCCAGTCGCGACCGTCGGCCAGCAACGTCGTCTCGAGGAACTCCATGTTACGGCGCACCTCGTTGACCGCATCCGGCTTGTTGCGCTCCATGGCCTCAGCCGACAGCGGCGCACCGACGTAGCCGCTGCGGTCCTTGAACCACGCGGGGTCGCGCAGCATAGGTAAGTTGGTAGGGAGGACGCTCATCGCATTGCGGAAGACGCCGCCGTCAATGGTCAAGACCTCGAGCAAACGCTCGAGAGCAGCTTGGTCCGGGCCAGAAGCACCGAGACGCGGGCGCGAAGGATAGAGGGATTCCAGCTTTCGGAGCATAAGCCGCGAATCCAGATAGACATCGCGGCCGATGGAAAGAATCGGGATCCGCCGGTGAGCGACGCCAAGTTTTTCAACGTCGGGCCGGGGCATCACCGGCGGTTGCATCTGGTGATATGTAAGCCGGGTTGCTGAATTGTGTACTGGTCCGAGGTACCCACGCATTGAACATAGGGAATGCCCCTCAAGGCAAGGTACCACACCACTCGTCTCGCATATGGCGAGGAAGAGTAGTGATACAGCACTATTTCTCTCTCTTCACCAGACGAAGCCATTGTGAATGCTGCAATTCAGGGCTATCAGAAGTTGATTACACAAAAGTGAAGTTTGAGAGTTGACGATAGCCGGAAGTTGGTTGCTTCCCGTACTTTACACGGGCCGGTTTTGCGAGGTACACGTTTTTCACGAAAGGAGGAATGCGTTGAAGATAATGGTGACATTGGGGTCCATGACGTGAGAGAGATTGGTCCAGAACGAGATGCCGAGGCACCCAACATGGCACCGAGCTTCGAGCCAAGTCTGGTGCGGGGTTCAGGGGCCTCCCTCCAGACCAATGGCATTAGATTGACTGGACCCTCACCGAGGTGAGCGAGCCAATCGGGTGTTATACTTCAGACCTCACCACCTTCACCCTCGCGGTGCCTGAACACAACGACAGAGATCCTTTTTGAGGCAGCCACGGCTGTTCACTGTTCCCAATGTCCATTTCAAGTCGATAAATATGCAGACGTCCATCTTTGGTCAAGGCAGACTCGGACATCTAAGCCTACATGTCAGCCTTCCTGCCTGGATGCCCAAACCAATCAGATTTCAACACGTCATTCTCGCACTGCAGCTGACGGGAAGTGCCAAATTCCAATTCGACTTTTGTAGCACCTACGAAGTCAAAGGTTCCAAGACTACAAGATTCGCGACAACCTCGCGCGATCCACCAGCGTGACGTTGTTTTCCATCGAAACTCTCATCCCACAATTACCGACACCGAAACCCAATCATGTCACACGAAAACGCCAAGCCAACCCTGTCAACAGAATGGAGCGACCTCTTCTCTATAAACCGCACGTATGAGCCAACATCGTACAAAGCCCTCGACAACCTCGACCGCAAGCCTACTCTCGCATTCCTGCATCATCTATTCTGGGACGAAATTCGTGCGTGGACGCAGAATGATGTTACCGAGATGTCTGAAATTACCCACCCGGACCTCACTGGCTCGGGAAAGATCTTCATCGGGGGCATGAACCACGCGCTCAACGAGGAAATCCTCGTCAGGCATGACATTCGCGCCGTGATCACGATACATCCCAAGGACTCGCTGGCATGGGACAAAAGCGACCCGAACGGTGGCCTGCGGCGATTCGAGAACGGGGGCAGCATTGTCGAGTGGCCACTAATTATCCCGCTCGAGGACAACGCCAACTCGAACCTCATCGAGCACTTCGATGAGACCAACGAATTCATCCAAAAACACTCCTCTGAGGGGAGGAACATTCTTATTCACTGCAAGTCGGGCAGGTCACGGTCGGTGGCCGTACTAATCGCCTACCTTCAAAAGAAGTTCTACGAGGAGAAGCTGCAGCCCGTCGACGACAAAGACGAGGCGAGAAATAGGATGAAGGAGTACCGCGAGGCTGCGACAGAGTCAATACGCAGCCAGAGGCTCCCCGTCATCGTCATTATGGAGCGGTTCCAGGATCTCTTGGCACTGTACGATCTCCGACTCATCGACCATCCAGACTTTGAGAGAGACCAAAAGGCTCTCTTCCCTGCGCCCATGTCTGCCATCAGGATGATGCCCTCGCGCGTCGACTCCATCCTCAAAGACCCCGCTGATGAGAAGACACCTATCAACACGCCCGCCACGCCGCCCAATAGCAAGGTGGTGCAGACCAAGGGCGGGGCGGCGGTGCTCAAGATCTGTGTGGCGTGGGTGTTCTTCAGGAGTAACCAGAAGCCTACAGAGGTGGTGATTCACCAGTTCTTTGAGATTAATGAGGCGTACTTTTACGAGCTCGAGGGATTGGAGTACAACGGGCGGTCGTACGCAGGGGTGAAGCACATGTGCCCCGGATTGGTGAAGTACTGTTTGGATTATGCCCGGGAGTATAGACTGATACTGCCACGCCATACGGAGGAGCACGCCCTTTTGGTTATTGAGAAGGCGAAGTGAGATACTCTGCATATGGGCATAGAAAGGCAGGTAGAAAGGGTTAGACGAGTCGTATATAAGCTGGGTCACTTAACGTGACGGAGTTCCATAAGCGCCTGGTTTCATTAATACCATAGTTGTGTATGCTCGTGAATAAGTAAGTGTAGACCCGCTATACAAAAAAGATACTCATCAGCACTGGACCACTGAGTTCAGTTCTACATCAAAACCACCCCATTGCTTATGCCCGTCGGTAACCTCTCATCCACATCTCCGACTGCAGGTGAACACCGCAGTTGGCAGTCTTCCATGGCGTCAGCGGATAGCAGATGCTGAAATCGAAACGACGGAAAAGCTGCGGGACATCTCAGCGTTAGCAATCACACACAGCCTTGAGCCCAGCGTGAGAAGAGGGACCTTACCTCGAAAAACACCTTGTTCAACTCCATCACCGCCACAGGCTTCCCCAGACACTGGTGCCGTCCGTAGCTAAAGACGAGCTCCCACACCCCCTCCATCTCACGGAGCTTCTCCGCAGATGTGCACGACCCGCCATCTGCCTCCATAATCCAGCGCTCAGGGCGGAACTCTGCCGAATCCTTCCCCCATGTCTCCTCGCGCCGGAGGACAGCCCACACGGACCAGCCGATCCGCGTGCCGCCGGGGATGAAGGTGCCCTTCCAGACGTCTCCCTCCGGCGGCGCCTCCTTGGCGGCGAAGCTCGCCGCCGGCTGGAAGATGCGCAAGCCTTCCTTGATGACGGCTTGGAGATAGGGCAAGGCGCGCGCCTCCGCGTCGGCGATCACGGGCTGGGCGGTGTGCGGGGCAGCGGCATCGATTTCGGCGAGGAGACGGTTGAGAACGCGGGGGTTGGTGATTACGTGGAGGATCGTAGCGCGGATTGTTGTTGCTGATGTGTCGGAGCCGGCGAAGCTATCGAGATGTCAGAGTGCATTTTGGTGTGTGAGAGAGACAGGGGAGACGGACACTTGGAGAAGAATCTCAGACTCTGCCTCTTCTTGGGTCATCCCGTGAGCGATGAAAGAACCTAGCATGTCCCGTTGGACTTTCTTGTCTGGGCCGAAGCGCTCAGCAGCGTACTTTTTCGCGATGCTGGGCGATGTGTTAGCTTCGTTGGACCCCCCCTTGAAAGACAAGAACCCACCCCATGACTTTTCCCATCCCGATTATATCCTTGTCGGAAGGCAGCACCGATCTGAAGAGCGGGTTGGAAATTATTCTCGTTACTACCCACGGGAAGACGGTGAGTGTAATGAAGGAAGGCATGGCCTTTTCCGTTGTCTCAATATAGTCGTACATATCACCATCTTCCGCCATGAAACCCATTGGGTCCCCAAAAGCCAGGTCCGTAATGACGTCCAACGTGAAGTACTGGACCTTGCGAGCAAAGTCAAAGGGCTGGCCGGCATCGACGTATCTCCCCAGAAGGCGGAAGAAGTTTGACAGGTTGTTATCAAGCTTCTTCTCGAAGTCTTGAACGTGTTTGCCGTTGTACTTTGAGAACGTCAGTTTGATCCCACGAAGCGTTTGGTATGAGGGTTGCGTTTACCCCAGCCGCCATCTTGGCACGAAGTTTTGCATGCTCGTCTTCATCCCTCATCGACAAGACGTTGTTCTTGTTGGGGTGAAAGCGCACCGCATCGTACCAATCCGCCCTGCGGTAAGTGCTCCGCGCACCGAGGACGCGCTTCACCAGCTCTGGGTCTTCCATGATAAGGTCATTGGGACCAACACGGGCGAGGTTGCCTGATAGCACAGTTGGTGGTTAGAAGCAAACTTTGAGTTGTCAAGTTGCTGTCCGTTCGGCGCTGAGGTGTCTGCGATGACAGTTCCCCAACCTGTCTTCCGAAGAAGAATAGACAACAGCGGAGTTTACTCACCATATTTCTTGACTACATCGTAGAAGTCGAGATGCGCTTTCGGCCCCCAGACAGTCTTGAGATGCCACAGTTTAGAGAAGGCTGCCAAGGGTGGGCCTCTGAAGTGCCGGAGGCGCAGATATTGTTTCACGGTAGAGAATAGCCACCACAGGATAAATATCCCGAGTATGCAGTTTGCGGCGGCACGCGTGGGGCTGGACTCTCTGGGCACGGCTCTTTGGGCGGCCTGCAGGAGGTCAGAGATGGCAGCCATGTCTGAATATCTGCGGAAGACAGCCGCGAGGACTTGATTTCAAAGAGAGATTCAAGGACAAGACTAGAAGAAGAGACGGAAGAGACACTCGGTTTTAAGTAAGGAAGACTCTCATTCCTCACTAGATGCGCGGGGTAACACAGGACCTATGCGAAACAGGAGGAATCTGGTTACTCTGTCACTAACATTACGGAGGCCCTAGAGGCTTTTTTCTTCCCAGCATCCTTCTCGTCTAAGGACTCCATACAGCCTTAGCCTTGCCCTTGCAAGCGTGTTGGTGACCAATTACATCACCCTGCCGAGGTGTAAGCCGGCGGGCGCGTTGCTTTTTCGTTCTCCCGAGATGCAAGGGACTTGAGCAGTCCGTGATGGGTCACTCGTGGGGCGATTAGGAAAGAGGTAGGGGGTGATAAATGGTAAAACGGTTAGTATTGTTCGTGTAATCAGCGAACGGTTTTCCTGCTTCGCCCTCCCCCATGTTTGCTTCTGGAGCCGGGCAAACAACGGGGCCTTTTCAGATGACGAGGCAGCAAGGGGGTGGTGAGAGCTGCCCGGGTGCTGGTACGGTATCTTGCATCTTGCACCCAAAAGACTTGCCAACTTGACTCGTTTGATGCAGGTGCATATGAGGATGCCAAGGGTTGATACTCGCTAACCAATCCTGTTGGCTGTGCCTCATTCACACATGCAGCTTATGCGCTTGGCCCTGGACAGATGCAACGGCTGGTTGGTGCCTAGCGTTGATTGAACCCCTGTCAACAGACCATGAACCACGATGGAAAATTTGCTGCAGAATTGATAATTGAGTTCGACTACTGCGGCAAGATGTCCAGATAGCGGCGAGCGCCGGACAGGATCCCGGGATTTCGTTCGCGGTCTTGAGACCGGACTTGCCCTGCCAAGACCCCACGCCGGGGGCTAACAACCCGGGACAGCCGTTCGGAAGCGGCTAGATGTTTTCAGCCTCCCAACAACGGGCCGCGGTGGGGTGATGGGGAGCAACATTTGCGCGATTATCGGGGTGAGACCCGCATGGAAAGGACAGGCAGCCATGTGTGCGATCGGGCTGGGTCAATCTCTCTTGTTTCAACCGAAAGCGCTTGCCGAGTTGTTGGCACGTGGTAAAACGGTAAAGCATGAACAGAACCGGAGACCACACAGCGAGAATCCCCGTTACTAGATCGCCGATGAAGTATCGGTGTGGTTCAGCCTGAGATACTCTGATAAGAACTCATCAATGCCCAGAGATCAGAGAATGCCACCCTGGCCCAGTCGGTCCGGATTCATGTTCGGTAGGGTTGCCGGAAGCAAAGAGTTCTCCTGAAGCATTCAGTCACCGGGAGGAATTTAAATATGAAAAGGGAAGGGGAAATATAACAGTTTTTAAACCGGAACGAGAACTTCGTCGCGATCTATCTCTCCGCAGTAGACGAACAGCAACCTGATCTTGCAACTCTCAAGTGTCAAATTGTTGGCTCGATGAAAGCTGCACACTAACAACAGCCCTGTTCGTTACCAGAATCTTTAGCGATGTCTTTATAGTAGTTTCTCATCGAGACCACCTATTTTTCCTGTTTTAGAGCTACTACTGTTCTCATTGCTATACTATTACCGTCGTCATCTTCGTCGTCTTCTCTGCCATTACCATTACTTCTGATATCGTCTTCGATTAGAGTAATTAAGTATACAGGAAATATAGCCGCGCAGAAACAGCTCAGGCAATACATTCCCACCTCCTACCCGCGTCAATATCTAACCGCAGGTCTGACCGTGAGCTTACAGTCTCCTCTCCGTGCTCTCGCGATACAGGGAAATCCTAGACGTCCCCGGAACTGCACAGGGAATTGCCCGATAACTCATCTGATCATTTGACTCCGGATGGTCTCGCAAGTGCTCCCGCTTCCCCGGAACCTTATTGAAAACCCGATTGTAGCCCGACAAATCGGAAAGATTGGCAAGTTCGATACATCCCATTGCTGGGATTTGCAATGTTGCAGTACCGAATGAAACTACGGAGCCTGGCCCGAACCAATTAGTTAAGATCGCGAATTCCTGGACAGCTATTTGCTTTCAGTTGCATAGACCGTCCGAGTCGCTGAGTGTTTGCTGCTCTGATGCTAGAGCCGGAGCTTGCTTATATCAAACCCCAAGCCGACTCGAAGGCCGGAAACTGGTGTCAATGATACCTCTTGGTAGATGCTCTACTTCTAATCCGTCGATATGTCTGAAGACGACGTAGAAATATCTGAGCAGCCCGGTGGGCTGATAAGCTTGATCGAAAGAGGTCACCATTGAGAGCGCTTGCTTGGGGTCACGGCTTTCGCAAGACTGCCGATCGAGGTATTGATCGAGATTAGGATTCACACTGGAATGCGCCCGCCTGCGGTTTCGAAACGGACTGAAAATTTTCCCCGTATCAAACATGGTTCGAAGCTGATGTTGATGCTTTCAACTTCATCGAAACGCTGCAGCTGGTTTGCGCCCAGCACAGGTCGCAACATGCGGAATGCAGGGCTCGAAGTCTACGCCCGGACAGCACTGACCCAAAAGACTTGCAAGACACAAAGTCAGCCAGGGTAGCAAGTAGGGGAAGCACCATGTCACCCACGCATGGGCTGAAATGGCAAGCTGAGAGCAATTGGACCCAAGCGAACGCAGCCTTGGGACGGAATGAAATGGGGAGCCGGAGCGGCGCGCCATGTGGAAAGTGTAAACGCGGGGAACTGGCGTAAGCTGCCGTGTTGACCAAGGCAATATTGGCTTGCTGGCAAGAAAGTGCAGATTGGGACCGTGTCCCAATCAAAAGGTGCTACAAGCCGTGTACACCGCCTTGGATGACGGTCCTTCTCCTGAGGGTGGCATGGAGGCGTCGGATGGCTACCGAGCCGCGACCACAACAGAAATGGAACAGCCAGTCAGTGTTGAAGGCATGGAAAGCGTTGCACACCGCAATTTTGCGTGTTGCAGCAGACGTTCAAGAGAGGCCGGTATGCCTGCAACTAGATTAGCCAGATGAGATGAGGTTAATCATTGGCCGTCCAAGCTTGGAAATCTGGAGGAAGCTTCGGCCCAAGCGTGACGGGAGTTGCAGATGAAGGCCTCTGCAGACTGAAGCACGTAAGCCGCATCCACGGTGCACCGTTAGCGGTATCATGGGTTGGGGAATGAATAAGGCGAAGGTCAAACTGTGACCCTTGTCGAAGCGCAAGTCCCCGGGGAGGAGCCGGGAGGCGTGGTCCAGCCTGTAACCGCTGGCATGATGATGAAATGAGAGCTTCATGTTTGCTCAATCTGCTCAAGGGTGCGCATAGGCACAGCCGTGACGGCAGCGGGCTGAGCCACCCGTTGATGAGAAGTTCTGAATGGATGGTTGTACACCCCTGTCTCGAGTACAATAGGAACGCCCTGAACATTTCAAACCACCAGACGATGGAGGAAACGTGGCGAAGTGAAATATACCTGGAGTATGGTCTGGTGTATCCGAAGAAATGAGTCAGAAGTCCAGGGGATGACATCGGCGATGGTTGGTAGGAAGTCTATGTTGATTTGGCGAGGTGATTGTACGACCGAGGCGTGCTTTTGCTGCGAACTCCAGAATAAAGATTGACCATGACTCCTGACGAGGCTGGCGGAAAGGTGTAAGTGGCAGAGCGCCACGTCTTGCTCAAGATTTTTGGGCAGCCTTTCTGCCAGATTCTGTCAGCTTCGTCTCTAATCGTACCAAGAATGCCCGGTAATCAGCCCTTGTCTTGTCGGCCAGCTGTCATGTTGGGGGTCAGCAAGTACGCGTCGTGGCAGATACAGCGCAAGGAAGGAGTGTGTGGTTGCTCGCCCGGCGTGCCGGCGTATCTCTATGAAGGTAGAAGGAAGGCAAGTTGTGGGTGCCCGGAGGAGGGACGTGGAGCGGAGGCAAGGAGGGAGCCGTGAGTCTCCCGTCCCCCAGAGTTTTGGGAATGTAGGAAGTTGGGGTTTCCTTACTGGCGGCCTTCTCCGCAAACTGTAAACCTGTAAAAGTGAGGTGCAGGCCATGGGTGTCCACCCCAAACTCAAACCCCACATTCCCCTTGCGTAACTTCTGGGGGACCTCACCGAGGGAAGTTCCAGGTTCCCGTCTTTCTTTTTTTTTTTTACACCCCTTTCGGTTGTCCAATGTGCGTATATTCGTACAGCGCACGAATGAATACTCGCCGTGCAGTGCCCGTCCTTCGTCCCGTCCCACGACGAGTTCGGACTCTTGTAATTGTACGCACCAGGCAGAAGTTACTTATCTCAACAATTATCGGACGTGGACGTCGTGGGATGGTGTAGCTAGCCAGAGGGCAGTGTGTGCATCTGATACCCACCTTGCCCTTGTATTCAACAAGTATTGTCCCAGGGCGCGCCATGACCAGCTAGGTATCACAATTGGAGGATATTTCCATCTATCTCTTTCGTGTCTTTCTGCCGGTTCCTGATTACATTGCCCTGTCGCTTCTGCAATCAGACAGGGATCGCTGAAACTAGCCGGTTCTGGTGCTGCGTTGTTGTGCCTTTCGGCGGCAAATCTCTCTGCTCAATGGCAACAGAGCAGATAAGGTCGCTGATCCTCCAATCCATTCTCCAAAAACCAATGGCCAAGATGGTTTAGGGGGTCAGTGAGGCAACACTAGATGGAATGAAAGGCTGGGAGGTGCGAGCTGTAGACCTGATCTATCGATCTCGACTGCTGCCTTGCTACCTGGCGGCATTCTTGAGCTGGAATACTGTCCAAGGATGGGACCTGGAAATGGATATGTGTTCCGACTTCCGGCCGATGGAACGACCTTGCAGTCACCGAGTGAGCTCTCGCGCCTTAGTTTTCGTCCCGTCAATCCGTTTGGTTCACACTTGTCCTAAAAGCAAGGTCCAGGCTACCGTGGGATCATTCCCGTGTCCACATAAGCAAAAATACCTGCGAATTGCCTGCATCATGAGGTGATAGGAGGAAAGACACCACCACTGGGATTATCCAAGGCAACTGGCGGTAAACGATGAACCCTCAGTGCCCAGGACAAAATTCGCTTCTGCTTGCTTCCCCAACCGAATTACCTCCGCAATTTCAGGCGCTGCCCCATCAGCACATTACCCGCCGATGCGATTCATGGATAGGATACGCAATCGGCAACTTGTGCGGTACAGATACGAAAAGACCTTGCTCCAAGTTGCTCCAAACCCAACCGAGCTGCCCCGAGAAACGCAGCCTGCGAGTTTGGACGCAACAAGAAGATACGAGATAGATACGCGCGATACCAGCTCAACCCCTTTGGCTTCTATTGTTCTCCTTGTATCGCCAGGTAAATTACCCCCATTTTCCGACACTCCCCTCTTACACCGAACACCCGAACGGTCAGCCCATCCGGCCGCTCCCCGAGCTCTCTCAAAGGGGTAAGCTGCCCTGATCCTGGTCGGGGAACATGTCCACCCTTGACCCCCCAGCTGTCATGGAACATTCCTCCCCTTCTACCCTTCCCCATAAGCCGGGGAGTATCTGGGAGCTTGTTTGGGGCTAGCCAACACAGCAGGACGACATCGACGGAGGAAGAAAAAAAAAAACCACAAAAAAACAAGACGCGGCACGACATGAAGGCTTGGTCTATCGCCTAATTAGCTGCCTTTTCTGTGGACAATAAATTTATTTTGCCCTGCTTCGAGTAAGGTACATCACCACCCCCAAATGTCAGTGTACATACCTCTTCTGGTACATCAGACGGCTGCTCCTCATAAATCATAAATAAGTCCGGCCATTTCCACTGAGACATCGTCTTGCGCAATCGTCCGCACTCAGTCCAGTCATCTTCAGCCAGATACTTACTGATTACCCGTCTCAAACCCCCGATTGTCATTAGATTGCGACATTGCACATCGCAAGCCTCAGCGTGCCAGCTCCGCACTCTTCATCTGCCTCTTGTTTGCTTTGGATCTGGCCGTGTCTCTGTCTCTGACCCTCTTTCCTCCCCCAGTCGTGCTCATCTCCCTTTCTTCGTCCATCCTCAACCCCTGACTCTCTTCCCCACGCCTTCCGTTGGATTCTCTCCCGGCTGCTGCAACCTTACCCGTGCTGCGTTGATTCGGCGCTCTGCCCATAGCCCACACTTTCGACCATTCGGTTGGGTCTTTTGCCCAAGCATTCCACACACCCTTGCCGTGTTTGCGCACCGACTTGCCCAGCCTTTGGGGCCGACGATACAAGGAGAGGAATTGTGAAATCTCTGTTACGGATCGCGCACAAACGCCCGGCCGCACCCTTTCCTCTGTCTCTCTACTGCTCGGTCAGCCGATTCTGATCCAGGCCGCCCAGTTTAAATATTCCGCCATCTGCACTCGCACTCAGACCCGGCACACTCCAGCTGCACACCACATCAACCTCACATCAAGGCCATCCCTCTCCACATTACCGCCTGTTTCGGCACCTACATCAGCCTCTTCGTACCTATCGGACAAGATAACGGACCCCGTTCTTCACAAAAAGACCCGTCTCTTCCCCGGACTCATCCTCTTCGGATCCATCTTCTTCAGTACGTGGACCCCTGGAACCGGAGCATCAGCCAGCTGTCTCGTCTAACAGTGCTTGCCAGCAACTCCCTCCGTTAAAATGCCCGCCAGCCAGATCGCATCACCTCTTCCCATCCCTCCCCAGAGGAGGAATCTTCGTCTGATGACAGGCCAAGATCTTTATACCAGCCTGAATGCGACTCTGGCTTCAACCACCCACCGTCCGGTGACGCCTGTCCACATGATCCAAGAGCAGGACTACAGCGTCCCGGCGCCTCCACCGCCGAGTCCCGTCTCTTTCGCCGCAGAGCACTGGCAATCCTCAATCCGCCATTAGCCACCAGTGGCCAGCGGAGGAGACGGTGATTAGCAACGCAGGATTCCTGTTTGATACAGGACATCAACATCATGTACAATCAGCATAAGGACGAATGACAACGGGAGTCTTGGGCGAATACGGAGCGGGAAAAAGTCATTTGATTTGAAACTGGATTTATACAAAAGTAGGATTATCATGGGCATTAGGGTTTTCTTCTCAGCATTCTTCGGGGAAGCAGTAACAACCTGTACTGGCTTGAGACGAAGGACGACTTCTCGGGGCAGCTAGCAATCGGTTTCTCTCACTTCTGCGTATTGTTTGACATGCAAATGTCGGCAAATTGAACCTAATAATGAAGACTCATAAGGTGGCTTCGCATGGATACGGTGTTTGAGCGCTCAAGGATGGTGACTCGTTCGATGAATCGTTCGCCTTGCGCAAAAAGACCGTCCCATGTTTGTCCAATAGCGCTTCATGGTGTGATCCCCAGGTTTGAACACGCAGAGATCTGAGGCGGCCAGGGACAAGCAAGTGAGCAACGTCGGGCGATGCTTAAATAGCGACTGCCTAAAATGGATTGCGACGTCAACTGTCTGGGAGGAGCTCGCTATGAAATGCCAAGCAGCAGCTTCACCGAGCTGGACTCTTTTTTTTTTTTTTTTTCTGCCTTCCCGGTGCCCTTTCCCCCATTCCCCTGCTTGCCGTTTTGGTCTGTTGCCATGCCGTTGGGAAGGGTTGCCGAGGTTGGCCCGTCACGGGAGCACGGACCATCCACACCAACGCGCCCCACCTCTTTACGCGACTTCCATCGTGAATTGCAGCCAAAACGCGTCCAGAAGTCGCGTCCGCGGCCCCTGACCGGGGCGCGTAGCTGCGATCCATGCTCGCTCATTTTGACCTCCCCACTCTACTTTCCAATATACAAAACCTCTGCACATACGTCGTGACTTCCCTGGCGATCCAACGTTCCAACTTCTTCCCAATTGAGGACTTCGACCGTACTTGCCAACTAGCAAACCCCATCCCCTCCTTCCAGACTCTGTTCACCATCCTATCGACCTCTACTCACCTTCCAAAGAGCTTTTCGATACAGACAGCAGTTGCACATCTCGACGCAATGGCTCGCGCAGCTTCACGCCGACAGGTCAAGCCTGCCGCGACTCCTGCTTCCAACCTCATTAGCAAGTACACTCGCGTATCCAAGGCCCAGGCTCTTCCCGTGGATGATGCCGTGAAGAAGGCCTTCTACATTGAGCTCCCGACGCGGAGCATCTCGACCGCGGAAGTCACGATCAAGACCGAGGAGTCTCCCGTCAAGAACCTTCCCACACCCCCTCCCACACTGTCCGCCACGCCATCCAGGAAGCGTAAGGCGGCTTCCGTCGAAGAAAACACCTCCCCCGTTAGGAAAGCCAGGAGCAATGCCCCTTCGCCCGAGTCTCTGAAGCGTCAACGCATCTCCAAGGACGGCTGGAAGGACGAGCCCGTCCCCGCCAAGAAGGATCTCAACTCCCCCAAGCCGACGACTACTTCACCCAAGAACACCACTGCCACTGCCGTCGACGCCCACCGCAGGTCTCAAAAGTCGACCCTCATCTCCCACGCCAAGACCGAAGGACGCAAAGCCACGAAGGTCACGCGATCGAAGAGACGCAACGCCCCTACCGAGCCGACGATCGAGGAGGAGCCAGCGACGAAGCAACTGCCCGCCGAGCTCCTCGAGCTTCTGGACCTGCAACGGGCCATCCTGAAGACCGTCGCGCTCCAGATTACACACCAGAACAGCAACGCTCCGCTCGACATCAGCACCATCACTCCTCACATCACGCGGACATGGGGAAAGCGCAAGGTCACAATGGACGACATCCGCAGGTGCATCGCCATCCAAGATATGAAGCCTACTGGCCAGGAACAGAAGATGCTCGGGTCCCCGTTCATTGTCACCGACTATGGACGCGGCAAGCTCTGCTTGGAAATGGACTTCTCAAAGAGCAACGGCCACATTGACGAGCAGAAGCTCTGCGAGCAATTCGAAGAGAACCTCCACATCGTCTGCACGGAGCGGGCCACCGATGAGATGACCGACTTGGATGTGTGCTTCGAGAACCTGAGCTTCAACGACTTGCCCAAGTCTGAGATCATCATCCGCAACAACATCTTCAAGACGAACCCGACCCTCGCCAAGGGACAGCGCGCGCTGACTGAGCTCAAGAACGGCATTGTCATGAAGAAGCAGGAACAGGAGGCCAAGACACAAGCTGCCAAGGCTGCTGCGACCAACCCCAACGGCACCAAGATGAGCCTTCTCGACAGGCTGAGGGCCAAGGAGATTGCCAACTCGCAGATCGAGCTTCCCAGCGGCCCCGAGATGGCGAGAAGGCGGGCGCTGCATCGCATCGGCGACATCGCGGCCATCATCTCCATGCTCGTCGCTGCGTCAAACTCTGCTGGACAGCTGGTCATGTCTTTCCAGATGCCCGTTCTGCAGCAGAAGTTAAAGGACTCGGTCAGAGTGCCTATGCCTGTGGAGGAGGGCATTGAGACGGTGCGCATCCTGGCCACCGAAGTCGCGCCAGAGTGGCTGAAGATTGCGAGAATTGGCGGAAAGGACCACGTCGTCATCCAGACAAGGCGCAAGCCGTATGATGCTGAGCTCGCGGCGAGAGTGAAGAGACTTTCTTGATGGACACACCGGACTTGTGGAGGATTATATACAGGATTTCGACTGACGACGCATGGCATAGCGTGTTTTTGCATATGGAGTTTGGAAGATACCACGAGTGCTGGAGTTTGACGCGGGAGGAAATGGCTCACGTACATAGAGAGCCACTGCGAGTCACGATACCAAATGCCTCGAGTAATGAAATAAAAGTTGTAATCGTCAGCTTTGGTGTGCCAACATCATCTATTGTGCTGTAAAAACGTCTAGGAACCGTAACCTTCATAAAGCCAGCCGCAAGACATTTATTTTTCAGTCTTGTTCATGCTATGCAACCCCAGGTCGTGGAAAATGACCAAATTTCTTTTCGCCTTCCAAAGACCACAGACTCCCAGGCGTGGGAAGAGAGGAAGAAGGGGGGCCGCGCACGCCGTTCTGGCCCGCTTCGCTCCATAAGGTATCCCAATCGCTGCATCCCGTCGCTCTACACCTCCCTTTGGCGATCATCCAAGGTCAAAAAAAATGAAAACACCGCAAGTCGCTTATTTCTTCTTGGCGAAACGAGGGGCGCCGATGTCGTTGCCCCTCAGCTTGACGTTGAGGACACGCTCCATTGCGGCGAGGACCTTCTGGTCGGGGGCGGCGGAGCCGCGCTCGAACTCGGCGACGACGGTCTGGGTGGTGTTGCACTTGGTGGCGAGGTCCTTCTGGGTCATCTTGGGCTCCATCTTCTGGCGCGTCTGGGAGATAGCGTCGCCGACCTCCTTGCCGACGGTGTTGGGCTTGATGATGTCGTCGGAGCGGTCGACCTTTGTCAGGCGCTGACCCTCGACACCGGGTCTGGAGGACTGTCACGGAGCATGAAATGTCAGCAACCGATTCTGAAAAGTATTCAATTGCTTTGGGGCAGAGCTCAAGGCCGGGTTTGGCTTTGGGGGATGCCATCATGAGAGTGGGTCATGGAGGGGTTGGGCGCGGTGATGTCAAGGGCTCGAATTCCAGGCAGATGGGAGGAGGATGATGGGGAGGTTGGCGACGTACAGCATTGCCGGCAGCGAACTTCTTCTCAGTGCCAATGACGGAACCACTGCGCTGGGCGGCGTTGAGGGCGCTCTTTCCCTTGATGACAGTCTCTCTCGCAGAGGCTCCGCCGCGGGCCTTGGAGCCGATCTTGGTGACGTTGTCCCAGTCATCCATTTTGGCGGTGTCGTGTGGGTGGAAGGTATGTAGGTTGCGTAGGTGGTGCTTATCGGCGGGGTACAGAAAAGAACAGGTGTTGATGTTCTTTTCCTTTGGCTGTTGGTGTTGCGTGGATTTGGTTGTGTGTAGGAGTTCACGACCCTTTCAAGTTTTTTGTTGCGTCAGTTTTTTTGGAATGCAGTCCCGGTTTGGCAGGCTGGAGGGGTGGTGGACAATGGCTCGGAATAAATATGGTGGTGGAAGACGATGGACGGGGATGGATGGCAAAATCGGTGGACCTGAGTCAACCGGCGGAGGGAAGAGGGGCGGTCATCCCTGCATAACGCAAGTGCGCCTACCTTGGGCGAAGAAGGGGCAGGAGGAGGAGGGATTTTTGGCGGGGTGAGGCTGCTGCTAAGCTGCCGGCTGCTTTCTCCAGCCCAGCGCCCAGCTGACGGGCCACGGCGCAGAACTCGCCCAACCTGCTTATTTTTACCCTCAGGTCAATGACTGCGCCACACGGAGACGGCGCTGCGGCTTGGGCAGAGAGAGGTCTGGCCGTAGAGGTGTCCCCAGGTGCTTGCTCATCGGACAAGACCGCTAAAATCCGAAAGCGGCCTCCTGGCTGAGTGACTCTTCCCCGGTTCCATACTGACGTCGGATGCCCCTTCGGCGTTTACTTCCCCGTCGTGCGATGCGGCATCCTCGTCCTAAGCACGTGAGGTCTTCTTTGTCATCTCGAGTCTGTGGCCATTGTAGTCTGCTTGCTTCTATTATTCTCATCATACCTACCTGTATGCTATGTGCGTTACAGATTCAACTTCTGTTCAGTCAATAGGGCACGCATTGACTTCATATAACAAAACCTCATCAAGCAAGCAATGCTCTGCGTCGAGGTGGTTGGTATGTTTATCGTCCTCTAGCTGACTAAGGCACTCGGACTCCCACTCTCACACTCCAAATGTCTTGATCTCATCGAACATGTGCATCGGCCCACAACCCGCACCTCCACCACCGAACCAGAGCCAGATCTGGCCAAAGGAAACTGTTAGGCCTGGTCGCACTCCACCCCCAAGACCACGATAGCAAAACCGTTTCTCGTTTGATAGCACTTGTTTATGTACCGTGCGCATTCCGCTCCCGCGAAGAAACCATGAACCCTTCTTCGTCGTAGAACTCCCTGGTGCCTCTGAGCGCCATATACTGAATTCACACTACCTACGCCGCGCCTTGTTCCTCGGCCGCCCGGGTTACAACCTCCACCGTCCCGTTCCGTCCCGTCCCACCCAAGAGGCCCGGAACTCCTGCAAACCTTCAACGACATGCGGACCGCTGATCCGGGACCGCTCCGGCCGTTCGCCCTGCTGGCGGGCCTCGGCTACTTTGCGCTCGCCGGCGGCTGGCTGGACACCCTCCTCGTGCTCCTCTTTTCAGCATGGCAGAACCGGCACGCCGTCACGGAGTTGGTCGAGGAACACGTAGACGCCGCAACGCTCCAGCATGCAGTCTACACGCTCCCAGGCGCCGCGCTCGCCCTGCTGGTCTTGGCATTGATCCGCTTCGGCGGCTCTTTCTTGGAGGAGGATGATGGAACGAAAGCCAAGTTCACGACGCCGATGCGGCCGTTGCTGATCCCCGCCAAAACGACGCATCGGCGGACGTTTCCCGAGAAGCACGACTTTGCGTACTCGTATCTCGTCGTCGGCATCCCGGTTGGCTGGACAGGGAACTACGGCGGCATGGTCTCGAGCGGGATCGACAAGCGCAGCTGGTCATCGTGGCTCGTCTCGTGGTTCTCGCTGCTGTCGCCGCCCTCGAAGGGCTGGTTCGACATCGACCCGGCGGACTATCTCGAGAGGGGCAACGGGCATCTTGGGCTGAGGGGGAAGCTAGATGCATACTTGACTTCCCAAGTACGTCGTGTCACTCAACTTCTTGGAACCGCATAGCTAACCTGAAGCAGGGCGCGGATCCGGCGCAGTATCCAACTGCCTACCTCGTCACAGCCGCTAGGTTTCTGGGATACCACTTTAATCCCGTCTCCTTCTGGTATCTCTATTCTAAAGAAAACGAGCTGACGGCCATGATCCTCGAGGTGAACAACACCTTTGACGAAAGGAGGATGTACTTCCTCACCTCGGACGTCATCTCTGCCGGCCAGCGTGTCGAGGGAAGCGAAAAGGCAAAGGCTTCCTCCCAAGACTCGCTGGCCAGCAACGAGTCCACGCAGACGTCAGCCGTGAGAATGACCAAGCACTGGCCCAAGGACTTCCACGTCTCCCCGTTCAACTCGCGAAAGGGCTCCTATTCCCTCTCGGCCGTCGACTTCTTCAGCGCCGGCCCCCACGGCCTGCCTAACCTCGACACAACCATCACATTGAAATCCTCCAAAGAGTACCCAAAACTCATCGCCCGCCTATTCTCGTCCGCCCCCGCAATCGACCCGGCCACCATGGGCCTCTCACAGAAGCTCACCTTTTTGTGCAGCTGGTGGTGGGTAGGCTTCGTCACCTTCCCACGCATCGTCCACCAGGCTGCCCTGCTCTTCTTCCGCAGGAGCCTGCACGTCTGGTTCCGCCCGGAGCCCCTCAAACAAAGCATGGGCAGGAACGCCGACGCGGCAGAACGAGGCCTGGAGCCCTTCTTCCGGGACTACCTCCGCCACCTCGTTGAAAAGTCATCCGCCGCCCTATCCGTGAAGTACATCCCCTCCGGCATCGCAGCTGACTCGGCGCCCACGGAAGTGATGCTCTCCCCCGCTGCCCAAAAGCAGCCGAAGCGCACAGAGGAACTGGAGTTCAAGGTCCTCACGCCGGCCTTCTACTCCCGCTTCGTGCACTACGCCCACGACCTCGAGGCCGTCTGCTGCGAGTTCCAGGACAACTGCACAATCTACATCTCCCGCCCCGACCTTCTTCCCAAACTCATCCTTAAGAAGCCCACCCCGCCGCTCAAGACGACAAACCTGATGGATTTCATCTACTTCAGGGCCATCCGCGCCCTTCGGAAAAGACCTGAACGCATCGAGAGGCCACTCACCTCCAGCGCGACCCCGGCGTCTTCTACAGCCGGCAAAGACGTGGAGAAGATTGACATCCGCGACTTCCGGATATCTTCGATGGACGGTTTCGTTCTCTGGGGCGACGACTCAGCAAAGCGCAGCGCATACAGGTCCCTGGTCTTGCGGACGTTCCTTGCCGACCGCTTCGCCCTGGGAAGCGTCGAGCTGCTGGGTATGCAACACTTCATCCTGCGCGCCGGCTTTGCCTGGATTCTCGCGTCGACGATTGCTCCGCTGCTCGTGAGATCGTGAAACCATGCAAGACGCTACAAAAGGTGAGTAAGCGCCACGCATGACCATGCCGGTCTGTGGAATTAGATGAGGTCTTCCGTCAGAGAGAGACAGGAGGCCAGGCCAGACACGCTTAGTTTCTGGATAAAACACGTCGAAAAATACAAGCAAAAAAAGAAATAAAATGATTCCAAACTATCTCGCGGAACGTCCCAAAAACGTGGCGCAAGGGGAAAACATGCAAGTTTCTCCAGTCGATTTTAGGCTTCATGTAGGTAGACGGTGATCAAACATGCGACCGCCGTGCCGGACTGCATCGCCCAGCGTCTAGATCGTCCTGACGCGAGTGAGTTGTCTCCGTGGCCCGTCGTCATTGGGGGAGAGAGCTTGCTTTCCTCTCTCTCCCCCCTCAGATAAGGCCGGGCGGACCCCAAGGCAAACATGACAGGTCACCCACATATTCGTTTAACCTGATGTGCTCGTTGCAGCAGACATACGCAACTCTGATGACGGTGCATCTTGTCTGCCGCGGAGATGCCAATGGGATGCCACC